GAGAAGAGAACATTTAAATTTGCAAAAAACAAAACTGCTGGGAAACACAAGTGGTCAATGTCAGTTACAAACTCACCAAGGCGCTCTACTCTTAACATTTTCAAAACACCTTATTTTCCATTGAATCACTTACCCCTCAACCTATTCAATTTTCTATTTCCAACAGCACAATCCTTCCCTCACCGGCATTCAGAGACGACTGCGTGAATAGCACTCCCCTACAGTACCAAACTTTGACACACACAATCGCACACACACAGCTTTTAATGCTCAAAGTTTACTTTTGTTACAGGTACAATAACAAAAGGCCTTTTAAGTCTGACTTGAAAATCTTTAGGAGAAATTGGCTCCAGCATTGAGGGGTTGAGTTATTGATTCTGGCCCCTGGCTCAGTCCAGGAAAAGATGGATAGATTTCTTTGAAATGCACTCTGCGTGAGAATATAAACACTATTGTGTGTTCTCGCTCAGGAATAAATTGTTTCATGACATATCTAGGGCCACCTTTTTAGCTTCAAGCTGCCTGCTTCTCTTGAAAGGGGGATGTTGACAGGGTGGAGCACATTCATCCGTGGTCCCAGACTACCCACACCTCATAGAAGCTTTTATTGAAAGTTAAATCTCCTTCTGAGAGTTGGCAGCCCCTCGTTGGGATATCTATTTCAGCAGCTGTCGTGGCTGATTATATGGGGGTTATGCCACACACTGGCAGCGATATAAACCTCCTACCGAGAGGAGGGCTATTATGTTGCTATTGATTGATGCATTCATCTGCATGCATGTGTACAATCTCTTGACTCGGAAGCAGCAGTTGGTTTTGATGGCATGCAACATGTGATCAGCGATACAATTTTCTTTTGGCACTCACAATCATGAAGTCAAACATTTGAGAAAGCTTATGATGCCATGAAATCTCTGTTAAACAAGATGCTTTTAGTTAACCTTGGGGCAGAACAGTTTTACAGCAGATCAATAACAAGTTGCAGGCGTTATTGGAGAACCTCCCAATTATGAAGTCTTATACCAAGTGTTTATTGTTGCAATCAAAGCACTGCATATTGATGAATTGCGTCTTCACCCCGTTATCCTGTTTTAATGGTCAAAATAGTTAACTTGAGCAATGAATGCCAATTGTACTTCTGTATTGTCGATAAAAAAGTAGTATGGATTTTCACCCACTGCTTCCAATACAAGATCCATAGGGAATCAATAAGAAAGCATACAGTAGGGCCTCAATAGCCAAATCTCCCTTTTGTTGTTTCTTAAATTTGGTTTGGAGAAAGGTCTTCAGAGAAGTCTGTCAGATTCTTAAAACATACATATTAGTACCTGTGATGAATAAAAAAAATTCTAACTGAAAGCATGTGCTAGTTAATCCTAACTAGCATAGGTAATGATATGATTTTAAGAAGTGTCAGAAGTGGTTTGAAAAAACTGCATAAAAAGATGGACGGGATGTTTAATTGGTTTGTTTAAAATGAGATATTTTGAGTTTAGATTAGATATTATTTGCAGGTTGAACTAGTTGAGCAGTGAAATAACATCTTTGCATAATAGCAATATAGTTTGTTAACCTGAGCAACAACACAATCATTAATAGAACAGATCCATTTCAAAAGGATGAACTGAAACCTCAACATTGTCATTTTCCTGATTTTTATTTTCAACACTAAGTCGATATTAAAAAAAAAAGAATTAAACAACGACTGGGCTCTGGTAAGTGCATCTTTTGAAGGCTTTTTTCTGCTGCCCACTGTGTTCAAATTCCTTTTTCCACTCCCATCACCCACTGACTCGGAATACATTTCGCTTCTCGTCAATGCCATCGATTTGAATATCAAACACCAATATTAAAAGCCACCTCTTTGAGTTTATTTGAGCTCAGGCATGCTGTGAGAAAGAAGGTGGGCGGCTCGGGGCAAAGGATCTTGGAACTATTGAGTCAAAATATTGATGGAACTCAGCCAGTCCCTGTGACGCTGCAGCCAAAGACTCATGTTAATGTTGTCCAAGTTGCAGCTTGGCAACACAAACATTTGTATTTATTTTGGGAGAAAACATGAAGTACATGCCCTTTTTCGGCACCCTCTTCATGTTCTTAGAGTTTCACACAGTCACTCAAGGGAGGTGGAGGACAACCACAAATGTACTTGTGGTGGTTGTCACAAAAAGCTCCAACTGAAAGGTTTGATCTGAAGAGCATTTTGAGGACATGTAGATGAAGAAGGTTGATCATGAGGGTTTCCTATGCAGTGTTGGACATTTAATCAAAGAAAATGTACAGAGAAAAGCTACATGCTATCCTTCTAGGTGGATCTCTTGCTTAACTGCTTCTACAGAATGAACGAACTCACACAAAATCATACAATAGCATTTAACAGCTGTTAAATAATTCTAATGAGCTTAGCATAATAGCTCAAAGGGAACACGTATATAGAGGGAAACCTACTGTGATTATGTTTTTATGAAAAAAGGTAAAGTGCCAATACAATGCACAGATAGGCTTCAAGTAAAAGTCATGCTTTCAAAATGTTGCCTGAGAAAGTGTTATCATCACAATAAAAAAATATGCAAAAAGCAGATTATGAGGAGAGTGCTGTGTTAGTTCAACCATAAGCCTTTTCCTAGAAGACTTATCATAGCAACCCAGTCTCAGGGCATTTCGTGTTATTAGTCACGAAATTAATTTCATCTATTGATTCGTGTTCACCAACACGATTTTCACCTTTTTTTCGTGTCACACAGAACGATTTTAAATGCAATGTATTTCTATTGGTAGTATGTTTCGTGCCTGCAACACGTCTTTTTGTCCGGTCGGGTCTTGGAAGACCAGAAGCTGTGTGGTTCATAAAAACATGTTCTTACTCAATATCTTACCCTAAGCCTAACCCTATCCCTTTTATTTTAAATTGTATAATGTCTGAGTTTTTTTTGCCGTCAGTGAGGAAAAGAAATGGCTCAGAGCCTCAGAATACTGACATCTGTATTTTATGTCATCTTTTTTTCCTTCTAATTTGTTATTATTTGGTGCAGGCACGAAACATACTACCAATATAAATACATTGCTTCTAAAATCGTTCTCTGTCAGAATACTTAAATCTGTATTTTTTTAAATGTGTTTTTCCTTCTAATTTGTTATTATTTACATTGCTTTCAAAATCGTTCTGTGTGACACGAAAAAAATGGCGAAATCGTGTTGGTGAACACGAATCAATAGATTAATTTTGTGACTATAACACGAAATGCCGTGAGACTGTGTTGATCATAGTAGCCATCATTTAGTAAATGATGTACACCTGGGCTTTATCTACTGTGACAGGATTTCTAACTGTTTGCGAATTAGCTTTAAATGTTTTTGAAATTACAGATAGCTGAGAGCAACATGAGCACACGCACACATTGTGTTACAGAGTTCATCTGAAAACTCAGTGTTTTTGACAACTTGACAGTTTGCAACTCAAACACCCACAACCATAACAATTGGCTCTGGCTAACACATTAGCAAAACAACATCTTTAGCTTAAACAGAGCCACATGGAAATGTCTCTTGGAGTCTGAACTGTTTGTTTTTGTTCATTTCAAGTAAGTCTTTTGTTCTGGTTTGATGTGCTCATCTCCCGTGAATAACGTCTCCCTCTTTTTGGTTTGTTTTCATGACTTTGTTCGCTGTTACTTGTTAGCTTATCTCTGATGTTTCACACTGCAGGACACCTAGCTAGCTTGCAGATAACTAGCTTCTCATCCTAACAAGTTGCTTTGGTAAGATTTTAACTGTAACGTGCAATGGATTTCTGGATAACCTCTGCACAATACCTCAACCTTTTACTTGTGCTACTTTAGCAATCACTCCCTTTTTCCACTTCTTCCACCCCCTCAAAAAACAGACAAAGCAGCAAATATATCATTAGCAGCTGCCCTATGGAGCTGGATATTAATTATCCTGTGTTCTTCTCGTTTGGCCACTCATTTGCACGTGTACTGTAAATGTCACCAGGGAGATAAATGGGAAAACAAAAACCCCAGCTCGTAGCCTTTGCAGCAGAATGTCAGAGGGAGCTTGTAAGAGATGAGATATTGGTTTTGGCCTGGCATGGATTCTGGCTCAAGGAACATTCCCACAGGCAATGCAATTTGTATGTCATCTGTGTTTAGAAACTTATTAGCAATGCACAAGCAAACACTTTCAGATTTAACATTTGGATTCCGGCAAGAAGCAGGATAATAATCAGTACATCTGTTATAAACAACGAACCAATGAAATCCTGTATCTGACACAGCATAATATTATTTCATCCAATTCTTCTCTAAGTCCTCTGCCTGCTCTGAGAACAACCTCTCCCTGTGTCAGAACCACCTTTTATGCTTCTCATTTTTTACTCGGTATGAACTTCTTTCTTGCCACATATTGTTCTGACATGCCTTTTTTGTAGATTTATGAGTGGATTGAAAAGCACTTTGGGGGGGGGGGGGGGGGAGAAGCTCAACCCTCACATTCTCTGTGTGGCCTTTAAGGTGCGAGGAATAAAAGAGTATTTGTATTAATCGATCACACGCCGAGCCTGGTTGAAGCCTGGCCCTAATGGTTGCTTGCTGTCATTTTGCAAGCAGCTTGTAAAAAGGATTAGAGTGGCTCTGTGGAGTAAGGGCGCATGAACAGCAAAGTTCTGTGGCCGGCAATGAAAATAAATCAATTTATCCCTGATGGTGGTGCAGTTTTGGAACATAATGCCTAACGATGATAGAGTTTAGACACTTCATACTTGTCATTGTGAAATTGGACTGCCGTGTTGCTAATGATGGTAATGTATGTTGTGCCTCGCCTACTAAAGTAATCCTTCACTCTGTCTCACTTAAATGCATCTCATTGTCTGGCATATTGTATTATGAATACCGTTGGATACAAAAAAAAAGGGTAGAATTGAATTTATATATTCATTCAGTTGAACAGCAAGTTAATGGAAAAACTGTATAACCATATACAATTATTCCCTTTTGTCACAGGTGATTGTAACTTTGAGAAGCCGCTGGCAGCATGTGGATACAGCCAAGGCAGAGACGATGACCTCGACTGGGAGCAGGCCAATACCAGAGAGAAGCCTTCATCAGATCCATGGCTGCCCTCAGGTAAGGACCATGACACTGGCTGTGTATAGTAGAGCTAATATTTCCATCCTCATATAGAGAATACATCCTGCAATAGTCTGCACATATGACATTGTTTCTTTTATAGAATAGAATAGAATAGGGAGGGATGAAACCCTCTTTAATGGTCACACATGCAGAGCACACAGCACACACAGTGAAATTTGGCCTCTGCTTTTAACCCATCCTAGTACAAGGAGTCTAGTACTAGGAGCAGTGGGCAGCTATTGTACAGCGCCCGGGGAGCAATGGGAGTGGGGGGGAAGGGGGGTGTCCGGTGCCTTGCTCAAGGGCACCACGGCAGGGCAGGAGGTGAACTGGGACCTCTCCAAGTAGAAGTCCACACTCCATATTTAGGTCTGGTCGGGGACTTGAACCAGCGACCCTACGGCTCCCAGTCCAAGCCCCTACTGACTGAGCCACTGCCGTAAGAATGTGTAAGAATCAGCATTCTGCACAGAATATTTTCAAATAAATAAATATTGTCTCACACCAGTAGGATACTAGGGTCCTTGCACTGGCTACCTGTAATGTGGGAAATTGATTTTAAATGTATTTTTGCTTGTTTTGAGGTCATTAATGGTTAACCTACAGCTTATTTGATCATGTTTGAAACTGCTCCTTTAGTTGCTGGCTTGCTCAATTTACCAACAATGTATTGCAAAATGAATGGTGAAGCAGCTTTTTGGTGTTTTCTTAATACATATTTATATATTTAATATATACTTTTAAAGTATATGATTTTCATGCAAAAAAATGAGAAATAAGACCAGAAACATTATATTGATATAAGAGTTAAAAACATACTTTTATGATATTGCTTTTAATTCCATCTATTTCTGGTCTCATAATTCTTTTCCCTTTCTAATACTTGTTTGAAAGTTTTCATGTCTGTTTTTAATACCTTCTTTGTTTTTAATAACTGTGTTGTTGATCTTTTTGTCTTGTAAAGCACTTTGAGGTGCTTTCAATGTTATGGTACGTTGCTATATAAATGTGTATTATTACATTTTGTATAAATAGGAATCAAATCAGTTGTTAATGCCAATGAGGAACTACATATCAGATATACATTTTGACTGATCATACAAAGCTAAGCTACTCGTCATTGTTACACGGCATCCACCAAGACATTCACTATGATAAAGACCTCTGAAATAAAGTAAATATTCCTTGGCTCAAGTAGGCGAGCTACACGCACAATTTCTATCAATTTTCCCAACAGGAAACTAATTTGACAAAGCATTTGCATGACACTTATCTTTTACATAGTTTTCACTGAATGAAATGTATCACTGAATGGCCAGTTCAATCTAATGATGTGACGTTTACACGAGACATTTTTCTAATTAGGCTAGGCTAAGGGCTCCATATAAATGAAATATACTATAAGGCTGCATCCAAACAATTTAGTGTCGGAGACTAATACATATTGATTGTAGCTTTTACGGACATCTACTACTACTACTAATACTTCTACATTCTACTCTAGAATTTCTACATTATTTCCTTCTTTTGTATTAACATTCAAGTAACTTCTTCTTTCTACCTGAGTAGATAACACAGGATCTATGGGACAGTCACATAACCAAAGAGACAAAGCGTCATTTGATTTCAAAATACAAAGATCCATTTTAATTAAAGAAGTCCTTTTTGTCGTTCACATATTGAAATTCATTAAAATGCTTTCCCTGCATTTTGTGTCTGTCGCACACAATTTGTCTCTTTAATGTTCCATTGATCGCTTTTCATCTGATTTGAAATGCAGGGATATCAGCGCCACAGAGTGTCTAAGGAATTAGACTAATGGAATGACGTTCTTGTTGTGTTATAACAAAGGTAGCGTTGCAAACTAATGGATATTGTTTTCCTCCTATCTGACGCCTAATCTCACAAAGGCTGCATCACAGATAGATTGCACTGGGCGCCCCCAGTGACAGAGGGGGAATTAATTAGCAGGGCCGCACTAATTTTAAGCAGCCAGTGCCCAGACCTGTTTGTGTGTACATCGGAATGATGCGTGTTGAACCGCCCCAGAGAAATTACTTTCCATGGAGGGGGAAGCGTCTGCTCTTTTCTATCGCAATTGATTAATGTCCGGACTCATAGGCTGGGCAAAGGTTACAGCAAATTCGGGGAAAGCCTTGACCTACAAATTAACACCTCGTGCGACGGTCTAAATTTAACATATCTGATTAAAATCCCGTGTCTGGTTAAGAGGTGTCCCTGATTGGGCTTCCTCGTCTGAGTGCTCTTCAGATAGGCTTGTTTTCTACCTGTGCGACTTGAATTGTGCGTAATTAACAGGTTGCAGCTCTTTCTCCATTTCTCAGTGTGAGCACTCAACCTGCCGTGCAAAATTGTAATCTCTTCTCTTTGACCGCAGTGAAAGGGATGTGAAATGTAGTGTGCTTGACGGTTGAAATTGTTTTAGGGCGACTGGAGAGAGGGTTGATGGGTGAAAATGCATTTAGGTGAAAGCCACACTGGTGGAAAAGCTATCTCACCTCTGATTGCTGTCTCACTCTCAACCTGTACTTATGAATCTTGACAAAACGACCTTATCATACTCACAGAACAGATTGTTCCGAACAGAAGGCATTGCTACCTCAAACACTTCTGAAATTGGTTGGAGGCAGTTTCTGGTTGTTCTTAATGTCAATGTGTTAAATTATTATTAAAACCTGGCTGAGTTTCCATGGCAAATCCAATCCTTCCAGAGGTTAAACAGTTAGATACCAGTATCCCTGACATCACCTCCTAATGCAGTCAAGTGGAAAGAAAACATGTAGAGATCCGGTTGGTATAGCATGACATTTGAGGAGTTGGTGTTCTGTAACAGACATACACTTCAAGTTAGACTTACCATGAGCTTTCCCTCACCATAACCAAGTGCCCTAGTTTTCTAGCCCTAACAATAACTAAATAATGACCACAATCTTTCCCAACCATAACAATATTGTAGCTCGATCTCCCTCTGGAAGGAATGTAAGCCTTTGCTGACCATTTACATGCACAAAAAACATGCTATAGGAAAGTAAAACCCCCCCAAATGCATAATTGGGTCCCTTTTTAAGAGCCAAGAAGAAGTTGTAAGTATAAGGAATTGGGCTTGATCCAAGTTATTTAAAAAGAAAGGCAAATCTTAATTATGAAATAGTACGATTCCCTCCTTTTTATTAAAGGTTCAAAACATTCAGACTTCAAAGCTGCTACCTTTATCTGCTTTCTAAATCATGTATCAAAGGCTAGTGAAATCAATAGAAAAACATCCTGAATGAAGGTGCCGTTTCATTGTGCTACGTGTACAGAACAGAGTCATGAGAGGCCTTGTGCAGAATTTGATGTCAGCCATCTGAGGATTCTCCTTCATCCTGCAAGGCTAATATTGGAACCAAAGACCAAAATGGCCCAATTCCAACCTGACGTGTAAATAAAAGAGTACCAAAGGGGAAAAAAACTAAATGAAACGCAACGAGGAAAAACAAGCCCTCTGGTCACACGAAGAAGAGAAAAGCGGTGCATGAAACTCTTGGTTGTTTACGACGATCCGCTCCCTACCTAATTGCTACGTCTGGACGGAGAGTAGTCTTGTTTATCCATCCGCGCAGCCCTGATTGCATGCTTTGGCTCCTTTAGGGTGGCTCATCCCTGTTCTGAGGCTCCGCTCGGGCTCTCCCCAGTGTGTTCCCCCTCCCGAGCCAACTGGAGTAACCCCCGGCAGAGCTGTCACTGTCAGTCCCGTTGTTACCAACAAGCCTCATCTGCCCTGGACAATGATAATAAAACCATGCGAGCCAAGACGACACTCATTCAGCCTTGGAGAAAGGAGCTGGACACACTTCTGTCAATGTCAGATGTTGGCTTGGAATGCAAATTATTTGAAGGGAAAATTACCAGGCGTGAATCAAAGAACTGATTTCTGGGTTTCCATCCTGCCCTCTGTTGTTATAAGTTCTCCAACATGGTGCATTATTGTAAAAGAAGAATGGGTGAAGCTCACTTTGTTAGGAAGTTTGCAGTTTGCATGGGGTGTCCAGATGCCTTAAAGAAGGAATGTGTTTTTAGTGAGCCCCAGCTGGTGCAGAGGCTGCCTCCCCTCGGATGGAGTTACGGATGGTGCCAGCAGTAGGCTGCTGCTCCCTGACTCTCCCCTGGGACTCGTTCTGGGGAATAATGGCAGGAGGAGGAGAAAGAAGGTCTTCTAACTGAGATTAATTAGTTTTTTTTTTGTATTATGCTCGACACAATGGCGAAAGCAGCTCCTGCTAAATGACTTATTGTTGCACTGTTAATGTCTGCTTTAAATATGTTGTGGGAGAGAAATAGAATGTTTTTGTTGTGTAGCGTGTTTGTTCTGATAGCGCGCCCTTGGTCGATAATGACACCTAGAGAATTGTGAAGGATTGGCAGAATGAGGTTCTTCATATGGCAACAGAGATCTGGTTCTTTCTTCTCGGGTTCATAATGTGTTCATGCTAATGCAGCTCACTCTTGAACCCAGAAGGGTGCCTTTTCTTTAAGTGTGGCTGCTGCATATGGATAAGGGATCATTCGTAAAGTCAAACTGGTCACCTTTTTGATCATTTCAATCAGGAGGTAATTCATTCTCAAAGCCCCTCAAGCTTACCTGGTCAGCGAGTATTGTTTACGGCTCTGTATGTGCTGTTCAAACGAAAAGAGGAGAAGGATAGACACTTAAAATATGAGAGGAGAGAACACCGACTGACTGAAGGACGTCAGAAATGTAATCAGAATTTAAATCACATCAGCAAAAGATGGGATTTGCTCTTGAGGAGGGAGGGGCAATATCGTCTGAAAATAAGCTAATTGCTTTTTGAGCCATTCGCAACTTTGTGTGAAAATCACACCTTGCACAGTGTTGGCAAGGTTGTGAGGTTAAGGAGTCATCCATTATATGATTAGGGGACAAAACGGAACAGCAAATTATAACGTCTGATCAATCCGTGAATTAATTCCTG